CCCCAAAACCCCAAAACCCCAAAACCCCAAAACCCCAAAACCCCAAAACCCCAGACCAAATTTGGCCGGTTGAATTTAACCAGGTGATGGGTTATGAGTGGATTATACTAAAAATTAATGTTTTATCAATCCGCATAAAAAGGTAAAAAAACAGCTACTTCATTATTGTAGAACATACCTTGCCGGATTTCTGCAAGAATTGATGCCTCTTTGGCAGTTTAATATACTTTAACAGTCCTAGCTTCATATTTAAGGTGATATAATTATATAAATGACAACCCTAAATGTAGGCCAGGAGAGCTGCTAGCAGCGCTTTAAGGTTGCCCCTGACCTAGGTCCAGCTACATTCAGAGGTATATGAGCTCTAAGACATTTTGCCGGCAAAGAGTTTCCAAAAATTGATTTTAATTTCCTATGATTTGGCTGGCTTTCTTAATTTTGTGACAAATTTTATTAAATTTTAGTAAATTTTTTTAAATTATAAGAGATTTATCATGAATCACTCGTGTTTTATATAATAAAAATGAGCGATTCATGGTCCAAGGAAGTGTGAACTGTTAGTGCATGAATCACTCCTTATAATTATATAAAGGTACCGCTTAGGTTCTTTTGTAACATCAGTATAAAAATATTTTGGGACTGCCTGCTAATCTAAGAAAGTATAATTAATCCTACCTTCATCACTAGACCCTAGGAGAGTGAAAGGAAAACAAAGAAGAACTTGAAGGAAACATAAGAACGATTTATCACAAATTTTATTTACCACACAAAAGTCTAGTTGTTATCTACTAGATCTCTGAGTGTGTATCCATTGGACAATTTAACATTTATCAGGTATATAATCTACAGAAATAAGCTTGTGCTAATGCTCGAGCTTATTGAAATCATAAACTATCCTGTCATTTCATTCAAGAATAGAATAAGTGCTAATTTCTGAATATTTATGACCTGGGAGGGCTATCCGAGCAAGGAAGGCTCTGACCCACTGCATTAGTTAGTAGATAATATGTAGTATATAAGCATCTGGTGACTACATTCCTTTGAGAAGTGTGAAGTTCTCTCCTCTAATTCCCACTTTACTTTTATTATTATAATAATCAATTGAGTGATTCCTTGTTGGGGTTTTGGGGTTTTGGGGTTTTGGGGTTTTGGGGTTTTGGGG